TTTCGACACGTTTCAGGGTCTTCAAGCGGTTGTCTCCCAACGAGGCAGTTCCCTCATATGACGAGGGAGCTTTGGGGGAAGCGTTTATTCCAGCATCGTTGATGAGTCTTGGGTTTACACTGGTATTCCTCCTCCTCCTCCTCCTCGAGAACGGGGGATTATGGCGGCCCTCGCCTTTTCGGATGGTGTTGTCGTACGGCTTTCCTGAAGTTCTATCATATTTCCTCCTCTTCCTCCTCCTCTTCCTCCTCGTCCTCCTCTTTCTCCTTCTTCTCTCTCATCCTCTCCCTCCTCCTCCTCATCCTCGCACAACTCCTCGTCGTCCTCCTCCCCCTCCCAGAAGGAGCACTGGCGCGTTTTTGGTGTTGCTTTCCACCCACCCACCCACCCTCCACCCACCCACCCACCCACCACCAAAAAACGGGCGTCATCCCACATGTTCTTCGTGTGTCTTCTGGTTTCGGGGGGGAGGAATCCTTCGTTGTGCTTTCCAATGAAATCCCTTTGCGCGGCTTTCCAGAAGAACCCCTTTTGAGGTGTTTTCCAATGGGGTCAGATTGAGAGGCGTTACGATAGAATTCTCTTTGTGGCGTTTTCCAGAGGATTCATGTTGTGAGACTTTCTCATAGAATTCCTTGTTTGGCGTTCCCCAAAGATTCCCATTGCGACGGTTTCTACTTCCTGATTTCTGCCCCCACCCCCCACACCCACACCCAAAAAAAACAGGCGTCGTCCCACCATGCTGTGTTCCCCCTTTGTTCCGTTCTCCTTTTTGGTGGAGGGTGGGGTGGGAGAAAAATCCGCCGTGGCGCTTTACATTGAAATCCCGTTGTGCGGATTTCCCATAGAATCCTCGTGGGGTGTTGCCCAATGGATTCCTGTTGAGAGGCGGTCCAATAGAATTCCCTTGTGGAACTTTCCAGAAGATTCCTGTTGTCAGGATTTCCCGTAGAATTCCCTTCGCGGTGTCCCCAAAGGATTCCCACTGTGACGGTGTCCCATATAATGCCGTTGTGGCGCTTTCAAATTTGTCCCTGCCGTGAGGTTTTCCAATAGAATAAGTTCGTGGTGCTTCCCGATGGACTCCGATGGCGCGGCTTTCCAATCGAACCGCTTCGTGGTGTTTTCCCACGGATTCCATTTGTGATGCTTCCATGTGTGATGTCCTTCTTGCGCTCTCCAAAAGATTCCTGTTGTGATGCGAGGATGTCCCGTAGAATCCCGCTGTTGTGCTGTACAAAGGATCGTTGTTGCGAGGCTTTACAATATAATATCTGCGAAGTGGTTTCCAGAGGAGTCATGTCGTGAGACGTTCCCATAGAATCCTTCTGCGGCGCTATCCAAAAGACTCCTGGTGTGAGGCTTCCTGATTGAATCCCTCTGTGATGCTTTCCGATGGATTCTCTTGGGTGCGGCTTCCACATAAGAGCCTTCCCTGGTGTTTTCAGAAAGGCTTTCTGGTATGGGCCTTCCCCATGGAAACCCTGCGTGGTGCTTTCCAAATTCCAAAGGATTCCCACTGTGATGGTTTCCCATATAATGCCGTTGCGGTGTTTTCCCAAGGATTCCCGCTGTGATGCGTTCCAATCGGCTGTCTTGTTGGTTTTTCCCCATGGATTCCTGCCGTGCGGCTTTCCAACAAATCTCTGCGTGGTGCTTTCCAACGGATTATGTTGTGCTGCTTCCGAACAGACTCTCCGAGTGGCGCTTACCAAAGATTCCTGTCGTGATGCAGTCCAATAGAAACCTTTGCGGCGCGTTCCAAAGGATTTCCACTGTGAGGATGTCCCGTAGAATCCCCTTGTGGCGCTTTTGAAAAGGATCCTCCTTGCGAGGCGTTTCAGTAGAATCCCTGTGGTGTTTTCCAAAGGAGTCCTGTCGTGAGGCTTTACAATAGAATCCCTCTGCGGCGCTATCCTGGGGATTCATGCTGTGAAGCTTCATGATTGAATCCCTCTGTGGTACTTTCCGATGGACTCTTTTGCTTGCGCGGCTTCCCAATCGGAGCCCCCAGCTGTGCTTTCAGAAAGGCGTTCTGGTTCGAGGCTTTCCCAAGGAATCCCTGTGGTGCTTTCCGGTGGGCTCCTTTTGTGCGACCTCCCAATCGGAACCCCTTTAATAGCGCTTTCCAATGCAATCGAATCCCTGTGTGGTGCTTTCCAAAGGATCCCCTTTGAGGTATTTGCCAAAAAGGAGCCCATCGTAGCGTTTTCCAAGGGATTCCTCTTGTGATGGTTTCCAGTAGGAGTCCTTCGTGCTGCTTTCCAAAGGATTTATCCTGCGAGGCTTTCCAATACAATCCCCGCGTGGTGTTTTCCAAAAGGATTCCTGTTGCCAGGCGCTCCGATTGAATCCATGTTGTTGCGCTGTTCAAAGGATCTGCAGCGCGAGGCCGTCCGATAAAAACTGTTAGATTCCTTGCCACAGGGTTCCAGTTGTTTCTTCCTTGTTGTTGTTGTTTGGAATTCCTGTGTAGGATTTCGCACGGTGTTCCAGGCCAGAGGCTGTCCAATCCAATATTTTGTGTTGTCCAAAAGTTTCCTCCGGTGACGTATCCCAATAGAAGCCCTCAGCAATGCTTTCCAAACGGCTCCGATGATGAGGCTTTCCAATAGAGTCCCTTGGTAATGATTCCCAGCAGATTATGTTTGCAAGGACATAGAGTATTTAAGGAAGGAGATGCAAAAAATGTGCATGTGAGAGAAAGGCAAACGGAGAAAGCGAGAGAGGAAATGTAAGGATCATGATGAAGACAAGGCTGAAAGCTCGTAAAAACTCCTGTGGCGAAATTCCAGCCCCATGCCAGTTGGCACAAGGCTGGAGTTCCGAGGACCATGCTCGGGGGGCATTTTTTGTTGTGAAGAGGCTGGCGAAGAGTGAGAGAGAGAGAGAGACAGAGAGAGAGAGATGGAGAAGAAGAAAAGAAGAAAATCACGATAAAGAGAACGAGCTAATCACGAAAACACTGCAAAAAAACACTCAAAACAGCGAGGGCCGCCACAATCCCCCAGCCTCGAGAACCTCCTACTCCACCTCCTCCTCCTCCTCCTCCTCCTCCTCCTCGTCCTCCTCCTCCTCCTCCTCCTCCTCCTCCTCCTCCTCCTCCTCCTCCTTGGTTCTGCTTCGGCCACGCTAACCCCCTCGACACCCTCTGGGCGAACGGGGGCAAGGCACGCACGAGTGCCCGGGCTGGCCAGTCGCCCGCAGAGGAGGCTAGAGCCCCCGTGGCCAGAAGCCACGGCGCTCCAGCAATCTGCAAGGCGGCGAGGCCCCGGCCCCCCGACCTCGTGGCCCTGCGCTGGTCGCAGCGCGCGGTGCGAGAGACGGGGCGCCGCCTTCCCCGCGGCGCCCGCGGGGAGCTGCGCGGTGGCTCCCCCGTGGGCCCGCGGCGACGCGGGCGGGCAGGGCCTCGGAGGCCAGAGCCCCCGTGGCCAGAGGCCACGGAAGGTCCGCGCCGAGGGGGCACCCCGCGGCCAGAAGCCGCAGTGCCTCGGCGACTCCAACCCAGGGAGCACAGGCAGAGAGGGCAAGCCCAGAAGACGGTCAGTGCCAAGGAGACTCGGACCTGAAGCGAGCCCCCGACCCACGGGGGCGCGTGCACCAGGGCTCAAGAACGGGGCGATGGCCCCCCATGGGTCCTCGAGGCCAGGGCAGCTTTCCAGATCGAAGCATTTGGATCTGCTTAACGTCCGCCTTCTCCCCCGCCTCCTCCTCCGCCTCCTCCTCCTCCTCCTCCTCCCCTCTTCCTCCCTCCTCCTCCTCCTCCTGCTCCTCCCTCCTCCTCCTCCTCCAATCCTCCTCTCCTCCTCCTCTTCTTCCTCCTCTCATCATCATCATCATCATCATCATCATCATCATCATCATCATCATCATCATCATCATCATCATCATCATCATCAGCAGCAGCAGCAGCAGCAGCATCATCATCAGCACCAGCATCAGCAGCAGCATCAGCATCATCATCATCATCATCATCATCAGCAGCAGCAGCATCATCAGCACCACCACCACCACCATCCACCACAACCACCATCCCACCACCATCAGCATCATCATCATCGTCATCATCATCATCATCAGCAGCAGCATCAGCATCATCATCATCATCATCATCATCATCATCATCATCAGCAGCAGCAGCATCAGCATCAGCGTCATCAGAATCAGCATCCTAATCATCAGCATCACCATCGTCATCATCATCAGCATCAGCATCACAAACATCATCGCATCAGCAGCATCAGCTTCATCTTCACCATCGTCATCATCGTCATCATCATCATCATCATCATCATCATCATCGTCATCATCATCAGCATCATCAGCATCACCATATTCATCATCGTCATCACCAGCAGCAGCATCATCATCGCCGTCGTCATCATCATACCATCATCATCACCACCACCACCACCACCATCATCATCATCATCATCATCATCATCATCATCATCATCATCATCGCAACCACCATCATGATCACACCACCACCATCATCATCGCAATCAGCATCATCCTCATCAGCACCATATTCCTCATCGTCATCGACATCATCGTAGTCGTCATCCTAGTACGTGTCATTATCATCATCCTCATCATCATGATACTTATCATTATCATCAGCATCATCATCGTGATCAGCATCAAGATCATCATCATCATCAGTACAATCATCACCATCAGCAGCAGCATCATCGTCTTAATAATCATCAACATCATGAGCATCATCAGCAGCAGCGGCATCATCATCAGAAGCAGCAGCAGCAGTAGCAGAAGCATCATCATCGTCGTCGTCGCCATGATCATCATCATCACCACCATCACCATCGCCATCACCATCACCATCTTCATCCTCATCCTCATCCTCATCATCTGCATCGTCATCATCCTCATCATCCTCCGTCCCTACTCCTTATAAATAACTCCTCCCTGTCACACCCCGAGGCCGGTCGAAAGGGCGGGCCGGGCGTTTCGCCTGAGACGTCTTCAGCACTATGATCCTGGGGCCGAAACTTTGCAACAGTTTTACGGAACGAGGGTGTGCCCGCTTTCAAAATGTGGTTCTCGCAAGAGCACCGCGCATATTCGTTGTAGAAGATTGCATCAGCTTCACGGATGGATGGCGGGCGGGTTTCAAAATGTGGCTCTCACCTTTGTGCCGCGCACACTCGTCTGAAAAAAATGCAAGAGCTTCACGGATGGAGGGCGGGCCGTTTTCAAAATGTGGCCCTCGCCGTAGCGCCGAGCAAATTCGTCTTAAAAGTTGGCAACCGATTCATGAATGGAGGGCGGCTGCTTTTCAGAATGTGGGTCTCATCTTGAAGCCGCGCACATTTGTCCTAACAGCGCGCAACAGATGTAAGGATCCCCATGGTTAACGTCCCAGAAATGGTGTTTTGGTGCGATGTCGGACTGTCTGGACGCAACAGTCACATTGTTTCGCGGTGTTGGAATCCCAAGAATGGTGTTCTGGCGCGGTTCATGATCGTCAAACCGCAACAGGAACGGTGATTCGCGGCGTTGAAGTCCCAGGAATGGCGTTATGGCATGATTCCGAAAAAAATGAAACGGTTGTCTTCCAACGGGCCACTTCTCTGATTGAAAAAAAACCTCGTATGTGGCCTACGAGAGGGAGAACTTGGAGGGAGAGCTTCTCGCGATATCGTGGATGGGTCTTCGGTTTACACTGGTCCTCCTCCTCCTCCTCCTCCTCCTCCTCCTCCTCCTCCTCCTCCTCCTACTCCTCCTCCTCCTCTATGGGAATAAAAAGTGGCATAAACATAAAAACACGGAGGTCCGCGCGGATTTCTCAGATCGGCGCTCCGCGCGCCAGGGGCGGCGCTGGAGGCGCCGCCGGGGGGCCCCAGCGCGATCGAGAACTCCGCGCGGACCCCCATCGGTTTTTATGTTTATGCCACTTTTTTTCCCCTATCCCTCCTCTCCTCCGCATCCTCCTCATTCCTCATCCTATCCTCATCCTCATCCTCCTCCTCCTCCTTCATCCTCCTCTACCTCCCCCCTCCCCCCTCTACTCCTACTCCTCCCTCCTCCTCCTCACCTATCCTCATCCTCCTCCTCCTACATGGGCGAGGGGCCCTCTTGGAACAAACGGGGAGGCCGGAGCCCCGCGCGGGGCTCCGGCGGCCGCCCCAGCGCCTCCGACCCCCAGGGCTGACGCGCGCCGCGGCTCCCGCCGGGGGCCCTGGCGGCCTCCCCGCGACGGCCGTGGTGCGGTCTGGGCCGAAATGCCTGCGAGAGGCGGCGGCGGCGGCGGCGGCGGCGACGACGACGACGACGACGGCGACGATGGCGACGACGGCGACGGCGAGGATGACGACGACGACAGCAGCAACGACGACGACGACGACGACGACAACGACGACGACGACGACGACGACGTCGACGTCGACGTCGACGACGACAGCAGCAACGACGACGTCGACGACAACGACGACGACGGCGACGGCGAGGACGACGACGACGACGACGACGACGACGACGACGACGACGACGACGACAGCAGCAACGACGACGCCGACGCCGACTGCGAGGACGACGACGACGGCAGCAACGACGACGGCGGCGATGTCGCGTTCTCTTTTGGCTCCCTCTGGAAGGCTCGCGGTGCGTCCTCTCCGCCACAGCTGGGTCCGCCTCGAGGACCTCTGGCCGGGGCACGCGCACCTTTGAGGCCAGGATACCAGACCTCTCTTTCGCCACGAGAGATCGAGACAGCCGTTCCGTGGCCCGGGACTGGCAAAAAACGACCGATCAGACAGCGGTCCTGTCAAGGCTTCATGGGCTCTGGAGGCCCACGTCTCACAGATCTATAGATATATTCTCACATATATGTATTTACCTATACATATACATCGTGGCGTCGGCACTGATCCTGGCCAGGCCGATCCTGGGGCCATGATGGGCATGGCCCCAGGATGCGGGCAGGGTGTTTTGCTGGCGCTCTCCTTGGCGAGCCTGCGTCGGGCCCCAAGGTCTCCAGGTGGCTTCGATTGCGTTCGCGGGTGTTCGGAGGCTCTGGGGTGGCTTGAATGCTAAATTCTCTCCTGACCAGGCCAATGGGGTGGGCCCATGATGTCCCTAGCATGGATCGGTACGCATATATGGATAGTTGGCATGTCACGAGAAGAAACAGGAGGAGGAGGCGGAAGGAGAGAAGGAATCCGTGCGTCAGCCCAGATCGGAGTGCGTGGCTGAATCTGGGTCAGGGCATGAGCGTGAGTCTGGCTCCGCTGGGTCTAAGTCTGGATTTGAATCATCCCTCTTCCTCATCTTCCTCGACCACCTAGATCTGCGCCTCAGCTTGAGAATCTGGGTCCCAGCCTGGGTCCAAGTTCAGGTCGATTCTAAGCCCGCATCTAAGTGCGAGCCTGCGTGTGAGACCAGGTCTGAGAATGAAGGCGTCTGACGGAGGGGAAGAGTGATCAGGAGGCGGAGGCGGAGGGGAAGAAGGGGGAGGCGGAGGAGGGATCAAAAACATTACGCCATTCATGGCGAATGAGAGTGTGTTCCATGGTGTTGCGGTCTGCCTAGTTGCTCATGGCATCATCTAGTTGCGGATCATGACGACGGCGACTACGAGGGCCTTGCTTGAGGAAATGGAGCGCGCAAGGCTTACTAAGATGAAACCTGGACTTCATCACGCCCATGGAAGAGGGCTGCGTCTGAAGACGCGTACTGGCGATGGAACGGGACCAAACGGGGCGCTGCACGCAGGAGCAGGGAACCGATGCTCGAAAATGGGCCGCCTCGCGCGGGCTCCGTGGCCATCCACGCCCACGACTGGGCTGAGGAACGGGGGAGGCAACGACATACAACTCGGCGGAAGAGCCGTGCTCTACTGAGCAGGGCTGAACCTAAACGGTGTTGTTCGTTTTCGTTTTGCTTTCGTTTTCCCTCGTTTTGTCTTCAGTCCGCCTTTACAGCAAAACGAAATCGAAACGAAAACGGCCCGCGAAATCGCCAAAACACCGTTCAGGTCCAGCCCTGCTACTGAGCACCAACGCCTTGACCGATTGGAAACTGACTTCGGGATCCAATAGCAGCGCGCCACTTCACGCAGCAGGCGGCAGGATGTGCGCTGCGGCGTCAGCCTCTCATTACCAGGCATGCGAGACAGGAACGCCCCTGGCATCAACACTCGTGCCCATAAGCGGTAGCTGGTCCTCGAAAGATGAGGTCAAAGCACGAACACGCGGATCGTGTGGAGCTAGATAGAGATCGTGGACGCTGTCAAAGCCACCTGGCGTGCCTCACCAGATGGACATCCACCGTTGCGGCACCTCTTCTGCTATCAAGAGAGGGCAAGGCTCAGCGTGTCCTCAATCCCGTGGCAGCGTCACCATGCAGATAGAAAGAGACAGGCAGAGAAAGAAAACGAGACGCAGAGAGAGAGAGGAAGAAAGAGAGAGAGAGAGAGAAGACAAAAAAATATATATATACATATATATATAGATATTCAAAATGGGGAGGGGAGGGAGAGATCGAGAGACAGACAGACAAAAAAGAGGGAGAGAGAGAGAGAGGGAGGGGAAAGAGCGAAACTGAGAGAGAGAAAAAGAGAGAGCGTGAGAAAGCAAGCGCGGGGAGGGGAAGAGAGAGAGAGCGAAGACATATAGAGCGAGAATAAGAGAAGGAGAGAGAGAGGAGAACACAGAGAGAGGGAGAGAGAGAGAGAGCGAGAAAAACAGAGAGAGGAAGAGAAAGCAAATATCAAATGGGAAGCTGTACAAAAGAAGTCCTGTCGCGCAGCGGTACGTGAGCCTTCTTGGCAGCCAACGCGCTCACTACCTGGAAGAGATCTACGATCCAATCGCAGCACTAGCGCATGTCGTAAGAAGCCAACCACGGCCGCAAACATGACTGCACCAAAGCAACACCAACCTGGAGCGTAGTTCCGTTTGGACTGGACGCGTGCGTGCGATACTCGTGTTGCACGGCCTTGCCTTTCGCAGTCTACACGTGCCCTGTGTAGGCTTTGCCACCATGGCCTTGCAGCACCCCGCGATGCAACATCAGAGTTACGCTTCCACGCCTGGTCCGCATCGCCCTGCACTGTGCTGCCGCGCTTGGCTGTATTTCATTCTGCCTCCCCCTGTTTGGCCCCCCCTTGCCCGCAGTGCTCTGCCCAGCTGTGCCCCTCGTACTAGAACTGCACCTGTATGATCAGGCCCCTCCTCGTCTTCCACCGTCCTGCCGCTCTCGCCCGCATGCAGGTGTCCCGCGCACACTGTGTGTCGTACTCAACCCTCGCCTCGGAAATGGTCTACTCCGTCCTCCTGCGCCTCCCCTGTCCTGCTCCTCCTCCCCCTTCCCTCTCCTCATCCCTCCTCCCCCTGCCTCTTCCTCCTCCTCCTACTCCTCGTCCTCGTCCTCCTCCTCCTCCTCCTCCTCCTCCTCCTCCTCCTCCTCCTCCTCCTCCTCCTCCTCCCTTTCCTCCAGGATAGGGAGGAGTCGTGAGGCTAGGGCCGGAACGTTGCCAAGCGACAAGAGGCTCTTGTTTATCATCGTGGCCTCGCGCAGCTGGACTCCCTGGCGGAGGACAGCGACGGGCGAGAATAGACGACGAGGAGGAGGAGGAGGAGGAGGAGGAGGAGTGGGACGATGAGGAAGCGATGCAGCAGGAAAAGGAGGAGCTGGGAAAGGGAGACAAACAGGACGAGGAGCGGTAACGAACTGAAGGAGGATGGATAGGAGGACGACGAACATTAGGACATTAGGAGGTGGCGAGGAAGTGGAAGAGTGGGAGAGGCGAGGATGAGGAGCGGACGAGGAGGTGAAGCCGAAAGGAGGGAGGCCGACGAGGCTGAGGAGGAGAGGGAAGACGTAGCTGGACGAGGTGGCTGGACGAGAATGAAAAGGAGGAGGAGGAGGAGGAGAACCAGAACAAACCCAAGATGCGTCAACGACGCTGTAAGACACGCTCCTGTCCCAAGTCACCCAAGTCACCTCCTCATAAGTCCGTACAAGAATCGCATCAATA